TGCTGATGAATTTGTAAGTTTATGAGATTTTAAAAGATTATTCCTATACATGTTTTGGGAATGTAATCGTTTATTGATTCTTTTTTAATAAAACTGTGTAGGGCAATCACATCCTGTGTACCATTCAATATGAAATAATTGATAAATTCAAGTATGCATTGCTCGAAGGAAAGTGGTATTTTCTTGGTAATTTTGCAGTTACTGACAGATTACCCCATCCAAGTATATCATCAAACAACTGTCATATACGTTTCAACGAGGAGACAATCATTGAGAAAACCGATCCGAAGTCTTCCAGAGAAATATACTCTTTCTGTGCATTCATAGATATTTTGCTTGGGTCGATTCAAACAGACTGATATCTTGGTAAGTTTCTTACATGCATGTTATTATCTTGGTTTATCTCATTAACTGAGAAATAATTTTTTTTCTAAATTAGTCATTTAATTTTGCAGTTGATCTTCTCGGGATTGTCATTTTTGTTCAGTTCAAAGAGGAGTTCCTATGTCCGATACATCGGATACACCCACAGAACGTCTACTTATTCGTTTTATACTTGAAGATTTCGGGTAAGTACAACTTATCCTCAAAATAGTGTCAGACTTGAGTTTCTTGATATATTAAACTATGTTAATTATCTTCTATGTTGGTGTAAATATATATAGTGGAAATTCCTTGACATGTATTGCTTGGGATAACTTGGCAATAAAATTTGAAGAACTTTGGACGAATCATGATAGGTCTTCAAGGCATATTATTGTATTGCGATTTTTCTCTTTCAATAGGTGGAGAGGTACGGTACATATTAACTATTAATATCTATTCAATACAGCGATTTTTCAGAAGTTTAACATATATATTGTTTCCACATGCGTACTTGATTGCGGATTGTAAACAGGGTATTGGTTCGTTCTACTAAGCTTCAGGTTTTAAATTTATAACCCCTAAATGTCTGCAAGTGCAGAGATGTGCGCTGTAGTACTTAGGGTATCGATCCACAGAGACTTAGTTGTTTCAGTACGAATTCACGGCAATGCTTAAATCAGATTAGAACTAAACATGTTTGGGTTTTGGTTTTGGGTTTTGGCTGTCACTAAATCTAAACTAGAAAGCAATTAAAAACTAAAAAGCAATTGAAAACGAAAGCAAATAAAAGCAAGTAAAATCGATTAAACAAAAGCGAATGAAGGCAAGTAAATAGCGATTGAAAAGCAAATAGAATTGAAGGTTGTAAGCAATGAAAAACAAACGTTGGGGCTCAAGGGTAATTCGCAGGGGTTCATGGACTAAGCTATGTCGATTTTAAACAAGTGATAAAGGTAATCAACTACAAATGTTCTAGAACTCGAGGCACGGAAGTATGAATAGCCTACTTTCGCAGCACTAAACAACTATCTCTCGCAACCCTGATCAGTAGGTTTCCACTCTGATCCTGGAAGGGAGAAGATGCAATAGCAGAACAAGACTCATCAACATTCACAACTCAACTACATGTATGTTTCCACTCCTATAGAATTATTGCTCGTTTCAACCTAGTTAAGACAATCAATGAAAACTTTCACAACATATCATATCAGATCGGCTTCTAAGTGGCCAGCAAAGAATCACGCAGTAAGATTAAAGCCAAACGAAGAACATCTAGAAGATTAATAATCCTAAATCTATCGATTCATAAGCAAAGACACATGAAATTCCCTTTGAAAAATCTCTTTAAACCCAACTGGGTAACTACTCAAATATATTGTAAACAATCATAACAGAGTATTGAAAGTTGCAGGAAATTAAAGAAAAGAAGGGAGAAAAACGAAGAACAGAGAAGCAGATGGAGGCGTGATGGCTTCCTCCAGCGGCGGCTCCTTCTTCTGAGACGGCGGTGGCCTCTAGGGTTGCTCCCACGAAAATCTCTCTCTCTCTAAGTTGTCTAAGTTTCGGTCTCCTTTCTTTAGAATGACCTAAAGAGGGTATTTATAGCTTCTGGAGTTGTCCTGGACACTTAGGGCTTCAAAAAAAACAAAAGAAATTGATCTGGGCTTTAATTAAGTCGTCTGGAAAGTCAACGACCAAGTTCCGCGGTCGCGGTGGCTCTACCCGCAGGAAAACAGGTGTTGGCCGCGGTCCCGGCTCATGCTCTCTTCCGGAACTGCATTTTCTGTCATTTTTGCATCGGGAGTATCCGAAGATCTAACCGTTGGATTGTCTCCAAACCAAATGCATTAGAAAGCTGGTTGGATCCTATATGTTGTCTCAAAATTTGGGAGTGATCAGACGGTGAGAAGGTCTTAATCGCTTGTCATACTTCTGACGGTCTGCATTTATCCAAAATTGCTCATTTGTTCCAAATTGCATATCTTTTGTCCAAGTTTCCTGTAAAGTCTTTTGAAACTCTAAAACATTGAAAACACTTTAAAACCATTGAAAACAGAGTTAAAACACCTGCATAAGACATAATTATCATCCATAAAAGTGGTCAAAATACGGTGTTATCAACTCCCCCAGACTGATAAATTGCGAGAGAAGGTGGTTGAGAAAATAAAAAAATATGCTAGATAAACATAACAAACATGTGGATGCATTATGAAACGTGCGAGAAAGGTTTGATCCTAGTGATGATACAAGCCGGTTAAGGATAATTTTAAGACATGACAGGAAAAGTGATGGAAAGACTGAGAATATACCAACTACTAACGAGGTTGCTGCATTGATACCTAATGATTTCGATAATGAGACAGATTCACGTGATATCATCATCAAGTGTAAACAGACTGGGAATCTCAAAAGGATTAGTGAACTACATCCTGCGTATTTGCCTTTGCAATATCCATTATTGTTTCCCTATGGCGAGGACGGGTTCAGACTTGGTATCGAAATTGGTTTTGTAGATACCGAAGGGAGGAAAAGGTTGCATATTACTATGAGAGAGTTTTTTTCTTTCCGCATACAGGAGAGGGTTGGCGAGTCACCAATCATCCCTTTATCTGGAAGATCATTCCAGTAGTTCTTAGTGGATGCATACACGATGATTGAGACTAATAGACTACATTTCATTTCAATGAATCAGTCTAAACTTCGTTGCGAAAAGTATGATAAGATAAAGAAAACTGTTGATGAATGTGACACTGATCTTTCTGACAAGGGTAAATGTATTATTATACCTTCTTCTTATACTGGTGGTACAAGGTATATGTTGCAACATTATCTAGATGCGATGACTACTTGCCAGTATTTTGGTTTTCTGGATCTTTTCATAACCTTTACGTGTAATCCCAAATGGTCTGAGATTACCAAGCACCTAAAAAGACATAACTTGAAGCAAGATGATATGCCAGATATATGTACGCGAGTGTCCAAGATGAAACTAGATGATCTCATGCACAGACTCACCGAAGAAAATGTGTTAGGTGTCGTAAAAGCCGGTATGTTTTATTAAACTAAGTATCTTATTTTGTTTAGCAAGATATTGTCCATACCACTGCTAGATGATCATGCTAACTAATCTTTTGAAAACTAAAAATTATTTGTTGCAGCGATCTACACTATTGAGTTTCAAAAACGGGGACTACCTCATGCACACATCGTTCTTTTTTTAGAGGCTGGTCACAAGCTACCAACAGGTGATGACATTGATAAGATAATATGTGCTGAAATTCCTGACAAGGGTATTGATCCAGCCCTTTATGAGATAGTAGGAGATGTCATGATGCATGGACCATGTTGTGCTTTGAATAAGGATAGTGTTTGCATGGCTGAAGGAAAATGTACAAAGTATTTTCCAAAACCATTCAGTCTGATCACTAAAATAGATGATGTTGGATATCCTATATACAGGCGACGTAATGATAAGAAAGTTATCGTTAAAAAGGGTATTGAATGTGATAATGGATTTGTGATTCCTTATAATAAGAGCCTCACACTGCTTTATAGGACTCATATCAACGTCGAATGGTGTGTATAGTCGCGATCAGTAAAGTATCTATTCAAATATATTCATAAAGGTGCTGATTACATCCATGCAACTATCAAGAATGATGATAAAGAAAACGAGATTAAGAAACACTTCAACTGTAGGTATGTTTTAAACATTTTGTTCACATCTTTTATATCTTTGAAATTCCAATCTTCCATTATTTAATAATGTCTTTCTATATAGGTATGTAGCGCCTTCGGAGTCTATGTGGAGAATTTTCTGTAATCGTACTCACCATCGCACGGTTTCTGTAGTTAAACTACCCTTTCATTTACCGAACCAGCAAATGGTCACATACAACGAGGATGATCCAGGTGGCGAGGTTATTAATCATGTCTCAGTTGGTAAGTCAAAATTTATTGCTTGGATGGAGTGCAACAAGGAGTATGAACTGGCGAGGACGTTAACTTATGCGTAACTTCCTACGAGATTTGTATGGAATGGACCAAAGAGGATATGGACGCCACGATCAAGGAGAATTGCTCTTGGTAGAATTACTTACGTACCCATTGGGGCAGGTGAAGCGTATTATTTAAGGCTTCTGCTTAATTTAGTCAAAGGACCACGTAGTTTTAACGATATAAAAACGGTCAACAAAGTTCTACATTAATTCTTTGTTCAAATATGCTTGCTATGCGTATGGATTATTGGATGATGACAAAGAATATATTGAGGCCATCAATGAGGCCGGATTGTGGCTTTCTGCCAATTATCTCTGTCGTCTTTTTGTGATCATGCTCACTACTCATAGTATACCCATTCCTTCTAGAGTTTGGGATGCTACATGGCAGGTATTATCAGATGACATAATATATAATTACAGAAAGACTGCCAAGGATCAAAGTAAGTCGTATAGTTATTGTTTACGTTGTTGTTATTATATATCTTTAAGATATTGATAGCTAATTTATCTTTTGTAATTTTTTTGAAATTGTGTAGCTGTTAGTCTATCTCAAGAGCAAGTTAAAGACTTTGCTCTGGTCGAAATAGAATTCTTTTACGTGTAAGTGGGAGATCTTTAAAAGAATTCACACCTATGCCGTTTCCTGAAGATATTACTCTAGAGTCACGTGATAATCCTCTTATTCGGGATGAGAGGAATTACAATCGCGAAACTCTTAGAGTTAGAAACGAGCAGATGTTAGCCACTGTAACCAGCGAACAGAGAAGTGTTTATGATGAGATTCTAAAAGCAGTAAATAAGAACAAGGGAGGTATGTTCTTTGTTTATGGTTCTGGAGGTACTGGTAAAACTTATTTGTGGAGTCTATTAGGATCTGCTCTACGTTCCCAAGGTGATGTTGTTCTTAAGGTTGCATCGAGCGGGATTGCTGTGTTGCTATTAGAAGGAGACCAAACTGCGCAATCAAAATTTGCAATCCCTATCGTGGTTAATAAGTTTACCTTCTGTTCAATCAAGAAGAAGTCGAATCTTGCCGACCTGATAAGGATTGCTAATCTCATTATATGGGATGAGGCGTTGATGATAAGTAAAGACTGTTTCGAGACTCTAGATAGAACGATGTGTGATATATTAAAAGTTGATAAGCCCTTTGGTGACAAGGTCATTGTTTTGGGAGGGGATTTCAGGCAAATATTGCCAGTGATTCAAAATGCTGGGAAGACAGAGATACTTATGGCCACTTTGAATTTGTCACCTCTGTGGTACAAATGTAGAGTGTTGAGACTTACACAGAACATGCAACTTATAGCTGGAGATAGTAGCCATGCGATGCTTGAACGAGCTGCCTTTACAAAGTGGATCTTAGACATTGGTGATGGAACGATAAATGATGATGGGAGTGGTGAAGCCGTGATTGATATTCCTGATGATCTGTTGATTAAAGACTGTAAAGATCCTATAAAAACGATCGTCAAAGAAATTTATGGGAGTTATTTTTCGAAAGAGACTGATCCTAAATTTTTTCAAGACCGTGCCATACTGAGTCCAAGAAACGATGATGTAGAGACGATAAATGATTAGATGCTTTCAAAGTTGTCGGGTATGTTTATTTTGTTTTAGTTCCTCTTAACTTATTTGTTTAAATTTATATAATACAACGATTGTTTTGTATATAACAGGTGTTGAAAGGACCTATCTTAGTTGTGATAACATTGATACGACTGGAGAAGTTTTCAATTACAATGATGCATCTGAAGTACCATCGGAGAGTGTAGCCAGTAAGAATAAAGGTGGTTCCAACAATATGATTTATACCGAGGAGTTTTTAAATAGTATCAAGATGTCTGGTTTTCCTAATCATCTCCGGAAGTTGAGAGAGGGTACTCCTGTAATGCTTCTAAGAAATATCGACCCTAAGAATGGGTTGTGTAATGGCACAAGACTCATCATTACTAAGATGGCTAATTATGTTCTCCAGGCTCAGATAATAACAGGTAGCAAGGTTGGTGACAAAGTACTCATTCCTAGGATATTCCTCTCTCCTTCGGAGATGAAACTTCCTTTCAGGATGAGACGCAAGCAGTTTCCTATCACATTAGCTTTTGCAATGACTATAAATAAAAGCTAAGGACAAACACTCGAAAAGGTTGGTTTGTATCTTCCAAGGCAGGTATTTACTCATGGGCAACTCTATGTCGCTGTGTCGAGGGTTACATCCAGAGAAGGTTTGAAGATATTGATCACCGATAAAGACAACAAACCACAAAGCAAAACATTGAATGTCGTCTACAAGGAGGTTTTTGACAAGATATGATTTATTTTTGTTTTGTTTATCTATTCTCTATGGATCTCGAAATATGTTAGATCTTTTTACTATATTATAATTACGTTCGGTTTTATAGGTTTTACTAATAGATTTGATGTTTTTCGATGTTTCACTAAGTTGGATCTGATGTAATTCGTTTTCAAATTTTCACTAAATTAGACCTGAAATAATTCTTATATCATGTACTAAGTTTAGATTATCTATTATCGTAAATGGGTTTGTAAAGCCCATATATTACATTATGTTTGATTGGTTTACACCAAAAGAATGTTACTAATGGCTATGGGTAACGACTATTATTTTTATTGAACCCAAATATTGTATATAAATTGGAAGTTGTATAGATACTCGGTTTTATCAATCGGATTTGTTTTTTTTTCATATATATATATATATATATATCTATTACTCCACCATGTACAATTAAGCAGCTTTCTTAATGTTTTCTTTTATTAATGGTTTGATCTCTGACGTTTAACTGTAGTCGGATATTCTAATGATAAACTCAATTCGATAATATATTTTAACGAAACTTAAATTGTAGCATATTATTGGACATCTATTGACATTTCATGTGATGAACATTGTCACGTAGTTATAAATATCGAGAATGCTCCAAAACCAAATTAGCAATGTCATTGAAATAAATTTAATAGTTTTTAGAAAACTAAACCAAGTACATACTGTCTTTAAAGTGATCATTGCAAACAGGAAAAAAATACATGAAAATTGATATGGTTCTTGATTAAACTCCAGACCTCCTCTTTTTACTTTTCTTCTCCTCTCCCTTCAAGCACAAACACAAACAATCCAATTTAAATTTTTGTAAAATTATATAACTTTAAACTAACTCAATATTATATTTAAACATGAATTATTTCTTAAACAGAGAGTTCAATGAGCAATCAATAACAAAATATAATGACTCAATAACATAGATTTTTGACAATTTTTCATTATTAATCTAAATATATTTCTGATTACTTACCCATTCGGCGGTATCCATGTGTCAAATTTCTGTCTCCACAAAACTGCAACGCATGCACTTCAACCCTATCTCCTGATCTAGAATCAGATCGTGTTTTCGTTTTGTGCAACTTGCTTGGGATGTCTTATTAGATGGGTTGCATTTGTCATCCTCCATAAATAGAATATGCAGATTTTACAATTCATTATGTAAGACATGATTAAAATAACCTTTAGTGAAGAGGATATATTACCTGAGGAGTATTCTGTTTGGCCTTCTGATTTGATGCGGTGAGTAAGTGTAATTGTTCTCATAATTCTTCTTGCTCGATCTCGGAATCTGTTGGTGAAGGTGGTGACTTAGGTTCCACGACACCGAATCTCATTACCAATGGTGGGGGATTGATGATCAACAAGCCATTTTCATCGATTTTTTGTTTCATTTGTGTTCGCCATGTTCTTATGAATGCTCTCACAAACGATAAGGCTACTTATAAAATATTTTAAAGGTTTTTGAAAAGAAAACCTCAAGTGAATATTTATAAGGTGTGCAATAATAATCAATTTTCTCATTTTTCAATTTTTTTATTGGGAAGATTATGCTACTTTATGTTTGCACCTAACCGTTTGACTTTCCAGGTTTCCTGTTTCATATAATTTTAAGGAAAATTGCCCAAGTAGATACATAAAGTTCTAACATATAAGTCTACATAAATGTCATTTTTGTTATGATGTTGTATGAATATATCATTTCCTAAAATATTGAAACATAAAATTGTTTAAATAACATAAGCTATAGAGAGAGATCGTATTATTTTGTGGAAAGTGTTGTAATTTAGCAAAGTTATATATTTAGTAAAATAGTATATTTACTTATTGAGGTTGCGTGTATCCTTGGTGAAACTTAAAACATGGAATATATTCTCTCTGACATGTGAAACAAACAAATCGGTCAATATCGATATGGAAATGTCTTGACATAAATTAGTGGGATTGTTGTTGGTTTTGACAATAAGGGGTTTTAAATGGTAACTGTTCAATTTTTTTTTTAATAATTTAAAAGGAAATAAATTTATAAGAAAGAATTTGCATTGTCAGTCCTTTTCATCTTTAACACACTTTCTCATACTTTGTCACTTTTAGTTTTCCTCTTTATAAATCTCATTCAGAGTTCTCGATCGAAAAAAAGAAAAAAATAGGTTAAAATGTCTGATGTTGTCGATGTTGCATGTTTGGATACTTACAAAAAAAGGTGGTTAACATCTGTCAAGGTGGCCAGGCTCTGGAAGCATTCAACATTCTTCGGAAATACTATCGAGATGGTTCTGTCTGATATCAAAGTATGTGTCTTTTTTTGAAGTTTTTCTTTTATGTTTTCAATTTATTATTCACTGATTATTTTTGGCTGTGTTGTTTTTCTAGGGTATTCGGATCGCTGCAACCATTATGCCAAACGAGTTTCTCACTCGCTGGAAAGAACTCAAACAGGGACAGTGGATTCAAATTTTCAACTTTTACGTTAAAGAGGCAACTGGATCAATGCTTACAACGATCAATAAACATCGTTTGCAGTTAACTTCTGTCACTATTATCACCCCTATTCGAACGAGGTCGTACAATTTGTAACTCCACTGCTTCCGATTTTATGATATTGTGGATCGAGCCATTCCTTTTGACTATCTGATTGGTAAGAATTTCTTCTTTAACTTTTTATAAGAATTAATCAAATTTACGGTTTGCATGATAATTTCTAAACATATATGTTAAGTTTTATAATAGATTTAAATTCAATTTATTATTTCGTTTATTATCAGACGTTATGGGAACTATTTTGGATATGGGTCCACTCTACAATGCAAGTAATGATGCTTATGAAGAGAATCTCGCTTATCTCCGATTTGAGATAGTAGATGCACGGTATTACGAATCATGTCCATTGTTTTATATGTAAAGGACTGTTAACATATAAAGTCTTTACCAAATATTTCATTTTTCGTATTGTTTTTTCTTGTGGCAGAAGAGAAGGCCGGTTAACATGTTACGGCTGTGGTTTTCTAGCAATAAATCTCCATGATGTATATCAGAGAAACAGATGTGAATCGGTTGTCTGGGTGTCACTACAAGAAAACATCATGTATTCCTACCATATATATCATCAGAAAATCGTAGGAAACATGCTTTTCCTACCAATTTCCTACGAAATATTTTTGTAGGTTCTATGCCGTCGGAAATAATAAATGGTAAAAAAATGGTAGGAAATTTTCCTACGGAGATTTTGATAGGAAATTTTCGTAGGAAAATTTAGTCAGAATATCGTAGGACGACTGCTACTAATTTCCTTCCATTTTTCTACGAAACACTTCTTACCGTTTTCCTACGAATGTTTTCCTATCATATTCCTACTATTTACCTACGAACTATATAAAGATATTTTTAATTAAATTTTCCAAAATTAAATAATTTTAATTATTAAATAAATTTCAAAAAAAATAAATCCGAAATTAATAAATTTTTAATTAGTAATCAGTTAGAAATTAATTTTAACTAAATATAGAGGTTTTTGTACCCCAAATTTTGTTAAAGTATTAATTCATATAGCATCCTATTTATAGAACAAGAGGAGTATGAACTTTTCTCTACTTGGTCGATGTGGGACTTTTGTTGCTTTTTTTTTTTTTTTGCTGATATTGGTAGGAAATCTGTAGGATATTAAACAATAAAATATTTGTTGGTAGAAAAGTGGTCAGAAAATTTTGACGAATTTTTCTACCATTATAACAGTAAAAAATTTCAACCGATTTCCTACCATTTTCTGATCACATTTCCTACGAATATTATTTTGGTTGAATATTGGTAAGAAATTTTTAACCATTTTCTGACGATTTTTATCATAGGAAATTTCTTACCAATTTTCTACCTTTTCATTTTTTGTCATAAATTCGTAGGAAAATGGTAAAAACATTTTCTACCAAAATTTTCATAGGAAAATTCGTAGGAATTCAGCATGTTTTCTTGTAGTGTGTTAAGGTTCTGGAAGATGACAAATGGCCAAGGTATATACATATTTTCTCATATATATCTTAAAATCTGAATGTTGAATAAAACTTTTGTCTATTGTTGTTTAGGTATCGATAAGAAGTCTGTGGTTCTCCGATCTAATCATCTGTGCTCAGATTTTTTGTACAATCCTGTCGATACCGAAATTGATGCATTTAGAGCGACGTGAGTATTTAAAAATTTGGATTCTATATATTGTTGTTTCAATGTTTATTAAACGTTTTGGTAATGA